CAGGAGGCTGAGGCAGGAGAATTGCCTGAACCCAGGAGGCGGAGGTTGTGGTGAGCCGAGATCGCGCCATTGCACTCCAGCCTGAGTAACAAGAGTGAAACTCCGTCTCCAAAAAAAAAAAAAAAAAAAAATTAATGTGCCAAAGTTTACCTTTTAACAGATAGGGATAGTACAGGGTGCACTGAGGACATATAATGAGGTGGGGGGCCAGGTGGAGTTGGAGCACTAATCTAGTATGGACTGCCAGAGAAGACCTCTCTGATAAAAGATATTCGGGTTAAGCCTTGAATGATGAATAGGACTTTGGACAGTGAAAAGCAGAGGGACAAGGATTCCAGGAAGAGAGAATAGCAGTGAAAAAAAAAAAAGAGAGACAGAAAGGAACTTGATATACAAATAGTCTTACAATAAACTTACAATTTGATATAACTTAATTCCCTAACCAAATTACAATTTGATATAACCTAATTATAGTTTGATATAACCTTGAAAGCAACAGAACCTAATACATAATGATCCAAAGTCAAATAAGATATGCTGCCAACTCTAAGGAAGCTCAGAGACAAATAAGTGAGATGTATTTGTATTCTCTATTGCTTTTTCATCATGGAAAAGATATGGGTAAAGGGATCAATACATATTACCCAAATGACCTTAAGCAAATTATTTAATCTCTTTAAAACTTGGATAATAGTATCTGTCCTGCCAATTTCAACTGTTACATCTGTCAGGGTTCTTAAGTGCAATAAACAGAAACCATCTATAAATGATATAAAAGCTGAAAATGTACTTATTAAAGGATATCAAGCAGTTCACGGCTCTCCCAGAGGCTGAAGAAACAGGCTAGAAGTTCTCCTCCCAATAAAGCCTCTGAGTACCAACACTGCAGCTTGCACCAATATACTGATGCTGGACACTGGCTGCTGGTGATAGAACGTTGCAGTCCCAGAAACTAGATGTAGTTATTGCGGCTGTCACCCTTACTTCATGTGCATTTGGATTTCATAGCCATCTTCATTCAATAGACATTCCTACCAGTGTATCCAAAAACTTGTTTTTATGGACTCCCTCAAGTCCTTCTTCTGGTTGTAGTTTAAGTTTGTGTTGGGTGCATCAAATCAGTTTGGAGAGTCTAGCAAGCAATAATACTCATGTCCCAGTAATAAGGAAGACTAGGAAAGCCAGGATCCGTCACTTTCGGTTCCTATAAGGGTGCTGGGAGGCAGGGTAAGGGAGAAACTCTGCCAAAAGGATGACGAATGACCACAGCAAATAAGGTGAGATAATTTCATGAAAATGTTTCACGAACTAAGGGAGAATTCAGCCACATAACATATCTGATTTTGTATTGCATAGATTTTTAACTCCTTGAGGGCAGGCAAGTTGGAAATGCAAGTTGGAAATAATGTGTAAAATAACGTTGAAATCCCAATACATATGCAATCACATTTAAGCTCTCTATATGAAGATTGGAAGGAAACATACAGTAAAAGTTATTTTATTAGAGAAGTGAGAGTTGAGGTGAAGTAGTTCTTAAAGAAAAAAAAAAAAAGAGACATTTTCCATTGAATTCACAGTCTTCCTCACAAACTTGGATCCCAATTCTGATGAAAGGAAGCTTAAAGACACAAAGTTTCGGCTGAAATGAGGAACGGAACAGTTGGTGCCAGAATCGCATCCATACTTCATGATGCATTGGGAACGCTATGCAATCCTAATAGGAAGGAAAACCACCACTAATTAGGAGTTTAGAAAATTGCACAATGCTGCCTACCACGTAATAACTTCAAATGTAACCTGTTACACGTTAGTCGACGTGAGATTACATAGGAACATAGCAAAACTCGCTAGAGTTGGTTCAGGTAAAGCACACAGAGATTGCTCTGATTTCCAAGAAAACCAAACATTCACACCAACTGTTTCCTTTCCGGCCGCCCTGCTGTTTCCCACTTCTTCCAAAAAGCGCTGGAGTGAAGAAACAAACATCCGTCCTCAACTCTCGCGAGAGCTCCGCGTGTACCCAGGGGCTGAGGCGGAGGATTGGTCTCTCAGGATGAAAAGCCTCCGCCATCCCGCCCCGGTTGCCAGGATACGCTGAAGCGCAAGGCCGCTGGTGGGTAGGCCTGAGAACCCAGAAGTGCGCGTGGGCGAACGGGTGTGCGCGGCGTCAGAAAGAACTTACAGCATCCGCGAGCTGGGCCACCGCTCTCCCTACGCGCTGGCGGAGGTGAGAAACCCCAGGTCCCATCTCTTCCTACCTTCCCTTCCTCCCTGCCTCGTTTGTTCTCTGGCCTTAGAGATGTTGATCCGCTCCAAACAAAACAAATTCCAACTCTGACTTAGCTGTTACCGTAGGGCGTGTAGCCAGTTCAGGCAAGTTCCAACTCTAGTTGGGCGAACACACCCCGACACACCCTACTCCCCTAAGGAGACCCACCAAGCAGAGAGCAGAGGAAAGGACCACAATGGGCTAAAAAGGATTTTAGTCGAAGCAGTAGATTTCTGCCTGTTAGTCACAGTGGAAGGAACTTATTTCTATCTGTTGATCACAGTGCGGGCAGTTAGCAGTTTTTCACTTCTTCACATATGTGAGAATGGTTGGCCTAGGGAGGATAATGATAATTAGAAGCCAGCTGTTTTAAATTTAATGTCTGTCATCTTCACAACAGTTCTGTAAGGTAGAGCTTATTGTCACCCTTCTGTTTTACAGATGATGAAACATCCTGAGGGGCTAAGTAAGGGCAAGATTATGCAGCTGCTAACTTTGTCAGTACTAGTTTGTATCGCTAATCTTTCTGCATCCAAAGGCCAGGCTGCCTTTCTGATTGTGTGAATAACTGGAAATTGTGTAAATCTTTGAATAACCACGGAGTTAGTGGCGTATCTGTTGCTAATACCCACTTCTTAATCCCACTGGGACTAATGGTAAGGTTTTTTTCACCTCAGTGAAGCAGTGGCAAAGAAAATTGGGTGAAATTTCTGTTTATTGTACATTTTCTCAAAGTTAGCAGGAAACCTAGAGTAATATCTTCTCTACTGGAGGGAGATGTTTATTGTACTCGTTTTCTTTTGGAGAAACTATACTGATCATAGACTCTGTCTTCCTTTCAAAAAGTCATTTTCTGAAATTCCTTTTTCCATTTGAAATTCTATTGCTTTGTACATAGAGTTCAGAATGGCAAGGAATTAGAATCAGGGAGCTAGTTGGGACAGGAAGATCGAGGTGAACATATTCAAATGAGATATCTGAATGGAAATTTTAGATAAACAATTGAAAACTCAGAATTGGTGCCCAGTTGAAAGGACAGAACTGTCGGCATTGATTAGTGAGCCATACACATAGTTGGAGTTATAAAGATGCATGATTGTAGAAAGGATAGAAGCAATCCAAGGACTGGTTATGAATAATGCTCAGAAAAGTAGTACTGGACATGAAGTGTAGAAACAGAGAAATAATTTTGGTCCAACACATACTTCTTTTGCTTTTTAACAATTTAGTAAATTTTTGTAAATGGCAATACCTTTATGTAGGAGGAAATTTTAAAAGTATGAAAGAGAACAGAAAGTTTTTGCTTGTCACTGAGACAGATGCTGGGGATATAAAGATTAAGATTCAGCTCTTGCCATCAAGGGTGAGAAATACTTCAGCAGATCATTTCAAATGGTGTGATAGTTTCTGGAATAACGAAATACACAGGCTGCATGGTAACATACACAACAGGCCTAGACACTCAAATTGTTCCTCAGGACAGAATTTGGTTACTTTTCTCTTTTTCTCCATATTCTCTCTCTAGATAAGTATCTTCATAACTCTTTTATATGACCTACAATAGGACATACATTTTTATGTCATAGCCCAGTAAACACATATGTGTAAATTTATGTGAATATAACTGAAACGAAAATTTAACGAAACAATATTTACCCTTCATATGTTCAGTGAACTCTCTTTTTTAAAAATTTTATTTTACATTTAAAGCATATTGGTCGTAACCTGCAAAATTGTTTTCAGAACTCACTAATGAATTGTGACCAACAATTTGAAAACTACTACTCAAAAAATTATCACACAAAATTTTAAATAATATTATATCCTGATAAATAAAAGAGAGGTTGATGGACTAGGAGAGAATGAGTGAATTAAGGAAATGGTTTAAAGGCAGGTGTAGTGGGAATAAAGATGAGCAAAGGGTAGAAGGAAAGAAGACTCGAGAATAGAGTATTTCAATTAAGATGTTTGAGATGAAGCAATTCCAGATGGTAACAAGCTCCATATCTCGCCATGGCTATGAATGACTGAAATGCAGTTAAGATCATTGCTGAAGTTGAGGTCAGAGAACTGTGAAGCTGGAATATTAGGTATTGGGTCTAGTATGCAAATGGAAGTGATCCAGGATGATGGTAAGATTGGAATAGAGAAGCTGTGAACTATGCACAAAAGACCTTAGAGAGATTAGGAAGTCACTAATTACCAGCAATCAGGAAAGATGAAGGCAATATTGTTATATTCCTGGATCCTCAAAGGACGTGAATCTTGTTTATTTTTTTAAAAAAGGTGTGGAAGAATGTTTTAAAAGTGACACTGGGGAGCAAGGAGAGTGCCACCTCCTTTGCTTTAAAATTGTGAGACAGGAAGCTAAAACACTTTGACTACTGAAAGGGTTCTCTCAGGGGAAACCAAGATTCTGTTAAAGTTAATAAAATAGGAAGTCTTTGCGACAAATGCAGAATATAAGAGAGTTAATCATGGACCAGAAAGTGCAGAGAAAAGATTGGGAGCAAAGAGAGATGTTGGATATGCCAAGAGAGAAAAGTTACCAGAGTATGGGATGAGAACACTTAAGAGACGGATAACTAGAGGAGCTTGCATTTTGGTAAGATAATAGAAAGATGAGGAAGGAATGTTGCAAGAAACAATCTCATATTTCTAAATGGAGTACTGATGTCAAATTTGAACAAAATTAAGCAGAGTTAGCCTTGTAGTGGCAATTTGCAAGAACAGTTGTGAATTAAATGTAAGGGTATGATGGGTCATTTGTCTTCTAGAGAAGATATCAAAAGGCAGTTGAACTATTTATTGCTTCCAAACAGTGATTAAAGTGAACAAACAATGGCCAGCAATCACAAATCTTCAGCAGCTCGCCCTGTTTCACGAGGTGGAGTTGGTATAACTGGAAGGCCTCCTTCTGGGATACGACCCCTATCAGGAAATATTCGAGTGGCAACTGCAGTAAGTTTGAAACAAATCTATTTATTTTGGGAGGCCAAGGTGGAAGGACCACCTGAGTCCAGAAGATTGGGGCTGCTTTTGCTATATCCTATAGGTTTTGGATATGTTGTGTTTCCATTATAATTTGTTTTAAGAGTTTTAAAAAATTTGATTTTTAATCTCTTCATTGACCTACTTGTCATTCAGGAACAGATTTCTATGTGTTGGTATAGTGTCCAAAATTCCTCTTGTTATTAATTTGTAGTTTTATTCCATTATGGTCATATAAAATACTTGATGTAATTTCAGTTTTAAAAAATGTTGTAAGACTTGTTTTGTGGACTAACATATGGTTTATTCTTGAGAATTATCCATGTGCTGAGAAGAATATGTATTCTGAGTTGTTGGATAAAATGTTCTGTTAATATCTGTTAGGTCCATTTGGTCCAGATGATTTCTGATTTTTTTGTTGTTGATATTCTGTCTGGATCATCTGTCTGGTGCTGAAAATAGGGTGTTGAAATCTTCAGCTATTACTCTCCGGGGTCTGTCTCTCTCTAGCTTTAGTATTTGCTTTCTGTGTCTGGGTTTTCCAGTGTTGGACGCATATATATTTACAATCCCTATGTTATCTTGTTGAATTGAGCCACCATTTTTCATCGTTTAATATCCTTATCTCTTTTTTATATTTTTGAGACAGTCTCCCTTGCCTAGGCTGGAGTGCAATGGCAAGATCTCAGCTCACCGCAACCTCCGCCTCCCAGGTTCAAGCGATTCTCCTGCTTCAGCCTCCCAAGTAGCTGGGATTACTGGCATGTGCCACCATGTCTGGCTAATTTTGGATTTTTAGTAGAGACGGGGTATCTCCACGTTGGGCAGGCTGGTCTCAAACTCCTGACCTCAGGTGATCCGCCTACCTCTGCCTCCTAAAGTGCTGGGATTATAGGCGTGAACCATTGCACCTGGCCTGTATGAAATTTTTCTATCCCTTTATTTACGACCCATGTGTCCTTTTTTTTTTTTTGAGATGGAGTTTCGCTCTTGTTACCTAGGCTGGAGTGCGATGGCGCGATCTCGGCTCACCGCAACCTCCGTCTCCTGGGTTCAAGCAATTCTCCTGCCTCAGCCTCCCTAGTAGCTGGGACTACAGGTGTACGCCACCATGCCCAGCTAATTTTTGTATTTTTAGTAGAGACGGGGTTTCACCATGTTGACCAGGATGGTCTCGATCTCTTGACCTCGTGATCCACCCGCCTCGGCCCCTCAAAGTGCTGGGATTACAAGCGTGAGCCACCGCGCCCGGCCTCCCATGTGTCTTTATAGGTAAAGTATGTTTCTTTTAGGCAGTAGATCTTTGGATCTTGACTTTTTATCCATTTAACCACCCTGTGTCTTTTGATTGGAGAGTTTAGTCTATTTACATTCAGGACTTACTCCTTTTGTTTTCTGATTGTTTTGTGGTCTTCTCTTCCTTCTTTCCTTCCTTCTTCTCTTCCTTTTAGTGAAAGTGATTTTCTCTGGTGGTAGTCTGTGTGTGTGTGTGTTGTATGTTTTTTGATTTGAGGTTACCAAGAGGCTTGCACGTAATGTCTTAAAACCCATTATTTTAAACTGAGAGCACTGATGGCACAAACAAAGAAGTAAGCCAAGAGAAACTTAATGTAATCTTCTTAGTCTGGGCTTGTTTGTACCCATTTTTCTTGGGAAGGCTTTCTAAGTATTCAAAGAGATTTGGGTGTTGTCAGTTATATTTTTGGTCATTGCAGCTATATCTGCATTTGGGGATACCCCATGCCCAGTAATGCTGTTGCTCTTGTAGACTTGTAGAGGGATCACTTTGATGGTCTTGGATAAGATCCAGAAGAATTATTTTTCATTTCTGATTGTGTTTATTTGGATGTTTCCTTTTTCTTTTTTGGTCAGTCTAGCTAGTGATTTATGAACTTTATCTTTTTGAAAAACCAAATTTTTGCTTCATTGATTACTTGTAATTTTACAAATTTTGATCTTTAGTTATGTTCTGACCATTGTTATTTCTTTTCTTTTGTTAATTTTGGGTTTGGTTTGGCTTTGGTTTTCTAGTTTCTTGATATGTGATATTAAGTCATCAATTTGTAATCTTTCTACTTTTTGGATGTAGGCATTTAATGCTGTTAACTTTCCTCTTAGCACTGTTTTTGATGTATCCTGCAGGTTTTTGTATATTTTGTTTTCCTTTTCATTTGTTTCAAAAATTTCTTATATTTCTGTCTTAAATTCTTTATTGATCCAGTGATTGTTCAGGAGTTTGCTGTCTAATTTATATGTATTTGTATAATTTCTGCAGTTTTTGGTATTGATCTCCCACCCTTTTATTTTTACCAAGAGGCTTGCACATAATATCTTAAAACCCGTTGTTTTAAACTGAGAGCCCTGAATACACAAACAAAGAAGCAAAGAGAAACACCCAAATCCCTTTGATTTATATGTCTTTTAGGGCTAGATACGTTTCTCATAGGCAGGATATAGTTGGATGTTGTTTTTGTTTATTTATTTTTTTTGAGACAGTCTCGCTCGGTTGCCCAGCCTAGAGTGCAGTGGTGTGATCTCCGCTCACTGCAACCTCTGCCTCCTGGGTTCAAGCAATTCTCCTGTCTCCACCTCCTAAGTAGCTGGAATTACAGGCACGCACCACCACACCTGGCTAATTTTTGTATTTTTAGTACAGACAGGGTTTGATGACGTTAGCCAGGCTGGTCTTGAACTCCTGACAGATGATCCACTGGCCTCGGCCTCCCAAAGTGCTGAGATTACAGGTGTGAGCCACCACGCCTGGCCATTTTGTTTTTAAATCTTCTGCTAATATGTATCTTTTAAGTGAATCATTCAATTCATTTACATCACATTTATGATTAATATTGATGTGAGGCTTTGTTCCTGTCATTTTGTTTGTTGTTTTTAAGTTGAATAATTTATTTGTTTTTTTCTTTCTCTTTTTATGGGTTGATGAAGTTCTTTTATATTGACATTTAATTATTTTGTCCTCCTCCTTTGTGATTGTTTTATAAGAACTATGAGTTAAATATTTTTGTGTGTTTTTGAGATATTGTATATCCACCTTTAATCTCTATGTTGAAGACCCCTTTGAACATTTACTGTAGGACAGGCCTACTGGTAACACATTCCCTCAGCATTTGCTTGTCTTGGAAATACTTTATTTCTCCTTCATTTATCAATCTTATTCTGTCAGGATATAAAATTCTTGGCTGACAGTTTTTGTTTGTTTGTTTTCTCAGCACTTCAGAATGACATCTGATTCTCTTCTGGAATGTAATATTTTCACTGAAAAGTCTGCTTTTATTCTGATAGGATTGTCTTTATAAGTGACTAGATACTTTTCTCTTACTAATTTTAAAATTCTTTCCTGGTCTGGGTGCGGTGTCTCATGCCTGTAATCCTAGAACTTTCAGAGGCTGAGGCAGGTGGATCACCTGAGGTCAGAAATTTGATACCAGCCTGGCCAACATGGAGAAACCCCATCTCTACTAAAAATACAAAAATGTAGCTGAGCTTGGTGGTGTGTGCCTGTAATCCCAGATACTGGGTGGCTGAGGCAGGAGAATCGCTTGAACCCGGGAGGTGGAGGTTGCAGTGAGCCCAGATTATGCCACTGCACTCCAGCCTGGGCAACAGAGTGGGATTCAATCTCAAAAAAAAAAAAAAATTCTTTCCTTCACTTTGACTTTAGAAAAATTCTGGTAATATGCTGTGGTAAAGTCATTGCAAAAAAAAAAAAGTCATTCATTTAATGTTTACATTAATGGTTATGTAATGTTTACATTTTTGTTTGCATTTAATGCAGTTTATTGTTTAATGTTTGCATTTTTGAAAATAGTAAGGCTTGTATAAAACATACAAACAATGTTATAGCAACAGAAAAAAAAAAAAGAACGAAAGAAAAAACATACAAACAGGCTGGGCGCAATGGCTCTCACCTATAATCCCAGCACTTTGGGAGGCCAAGGTGGGCAGATCACGAGGTCAAGAGATCGAGACCATCCTAGCCAACATGGTGAAACCCCGTCTCTACTAAAAATGAAAAAAATTAGCTGGGTGTGGTGGCGTGCGCCTGTAGTCCCAGCTAGTTGGGATGCTGAGGCAGGAGAATTGCTTGAACCCAGGAGGTGGAGGTTGCAGTGAGCTGAGATCATGCCACTGCACTCCAGCCTGGCACCTGGCAACAGAGCGAGACTCTGTCTCAAAAAAAAAAAAAAATACAAACAGGGGAGAAGTATTAGGGTTCCTTCGTATTGTAGGTATAACCACGATCAACAGTATCTTCTAGACTTTTTAATGCGTTTATTTATTTATTTTTGAGATGAAGTCTTGCACTGTTGCCTGGGCTGAAGTGCAATGGTGTGATCTTGGCTTACTGCAATCTCTGCCTCCTGGGTTCACACGATTCACATGTCCCAGCGTTTTGAGTTGCTGGGATTACAGGCACACGCCACGACATCTGGCTAATTTTTTTTTTCTTTTTATTTTTAGTAGAGTCGGGGTTTTGCTATGTTGGCCAGACTGGTCTGAAACTCCTGACCTTGTGATCCACCTGGCTCAGCCTCCCAAAATGCTGGGATTACGGGCATGAGCCACCACGCTTGGCCCTTTTTAATGCATATATAAACACACACGTATACATACATAGTTTGTATGACTTTGGTCTATTCCAAAATCAAGATAGTACTATATACATTTTTATTTTTCTCGTCCATTTCTTTCAGCAATATGTTACGAATATGTTGCCAAGTGAGCACGTATGCATCCACTTCATTATTTTTAATGTGTATAGTTTTAACTTATATGTTCTTCTCTATACTTTCATCTGGTGAATGGAAAACAAAAAGTAGTATAATTAGTTGAGTAGCTCTCACAATTATACTTGCATAAAGCCAAAGAAGAAATTATTTAGAAAATTTACGAGGAAGAGATTTAACATTCTCTTCTAAAGATCACTCGGGTTAACCCTTAACTCATTTCATTTGAATTTATAGTTGACAGTTTTCCTGTGTCTAACACATTCTCTAGTATTAGTACTATTCCTGGACCCTGTGCTCAAAATAATTCCCAAGTAATTCTTAGAACCACTTAAGAACTATGTTACCAATGTTGTCTGATTGGATTAAAGCTGTGAGCTAAGAAAATTAGCAACAATAAAAATGAATAGCAGTGGTTGTATCTAACCCCTATCTAAAATTTTTACCCCACATTTAATGTTCTGCTTTACTCTTTTTTTTTTTTTTTTTGAGACAGAGTTTCGCTCTTGTTACCCAGGCTGGAGTGCAATGGCGTGATCTCGGCTCACCGCAACCTCCGCCTCCTGGGTTCAGGCAATTCTCCTGCCTCAGCCTCCTGAGTAGCTGGGATTACAGGCACGCGCCACCATGCCCAGCTAATTTTTTGTATTTTTAGTAGAGACGGGGTTTCACCATGTTGACCAGGATGGTCTCGATCTCTTGACTTCGCGATCCACCTGCCTCGGCCTCCCAAAGTGCTGGGATTACAGGCGTGAGCCACCGCGCCCGGCCTTCTACTTTATTCTTTGATGGAGATGGGGAGAAAAGAGAGTAAGGAAGATAACTAGATGAAGGACAATTATTTTGGAACAGTTTCAGGTTGTCTTTTTTATGTTCTCATGCCTGAATATATTATATGAACTGACATAAAGGGAGTCTTCTGGCCTTTCCTGAGGGTATATAATGTTATATTGGATTTTGCATATCTGAAGTAGAGAATCATATTGAGTAGTAATATGAATGCTTGTTTAATAATGTAAGCCCTTCAGTACTTACATCATCATCTTAGGATAGATTTATATCCATTTGTTTTTACATGATTAAAGTTTTCTTATTTTCTCTTAATTTTTAAAGGTAATATATACTCACTGTAATAAGGTGTAAATACCAAATTGTATAAAGGAGAAAAGAAAAATCAACTATAATATCATTATTTGTAGATCATAATTACTATTTTTCATATAGTTTTAAAAAAATATATTTTTATCTTTATTCTTTATTTTTTTTAAAAGATGGCCTATGTTCTCCAGGCTGACCTCGAACTCCTGGATTTTAAACAATCCTCTCATGTCAGACCTCACCAAGTAGCTGGGACTGTTGGTGCATGCCACCATGCCCAAACTTCCAGCCTTTTTTGTTTTAAAAAAGTAGAGTTATAAACCAGGCACGGTAACTTGCACCTGCATTCCCAGCTACTTGGATGGCTGAGGCAGAAGGATCTCTTTAGGCCAGTAGTTCAAGACCAGCCTGAGTAATATAGTTAGCTCTTGTCTCTAAAACAAACAAACACAGAATTATAAATACTATCTTGTAAACTGCCTTTTTATTTATTTATTTTTTGAGACGGAGTCTTGCTCTGTTGCCAGGGCTGGAGTACAGTGGCGTGATGCCAGCTCACTGCAATCTCCATGTCCCAGGCTCAAGTGATTCTCCTGCCTCAGCCTCCTGAGGTAGCTGGGACTATAGGCACCTACCACTACGCTCAGCTAATTTTCTGTATTTTTAGTACAGACGGGGTTTCACCATGCTGGCCTGGCTGGTCTCAAACTCCTGACCTCGTGATTCGCCTGCCGTGGACTCCCAAAGTGCTGGGATTACAGGCATGAGCCACCGCGCCCGGCCTGCCTTTTTATTTTTATTTATTTTATTTATTTATTTTGAGGCTGAGTCTCACTCTGTCACCCAAGCTAGAATGCAGTGGCATGATCTCGGCTCACCGCAGCCTTAATGTTCCAGGTTCAAGCGATTCTCATGCCTCAGCCTCTTAAGTAGCTGGGATTACAGACATGTGCCACCCACACCTGGCTAACTTTTGTATTTTTAGTAGAGATGAGGTTTCACCATGTTGGCCAGGCTGGTTTCGAAATTCTTTTTTTTTTTTTTTTTTTTTGAGACGGAGTTTCACTCATGTTACCCAGGCTCGCCGCAACCTCCGCCTCCTGGGTTCAGGCAATTCTCCTGCCTCAGCCTCCTGAGTAGCTGGGATTACAGGCATGCACCACCATGCCCAGCTAATTTTTTTTTGTATTTTTAGTAGAGACGGGGTTTCACCATGTTGACCAGGATGGTCTCGATCTCTTGACCTCGTGATCCACCCGCCTCGGCCTCCCAAAGTGCTGGGATTACAGGCTTGAGCCACCGCGCCCGGCCTTGGTTTCGAAATTCTTACCTCAAGTGATCCGCCTGCCTTGGCCTTCCAAAGTGCTGAGATTACAGGTGTGAGCCACCACACCCAACTTAAACTGCCCTTTTTACATACTGTAACTTATTTAACCATTTTCTACTGTGGACATTTAGCTCCTTTCCTGTTTGGAGGTATTATAATATCTACATATAGAATTCTAAATTTTCATGAAATGTATTTTTAAATATTCATAGAAAATTAAATGTTAAATAAATTTGCTAATAAATTGAATAACAGTATTTAATAATTCAGACATTAAAAAATAAGGAAGTTTTTACAAATCCAGTAAATTGTGGTGGTTTTTTTTTGTTTTGTTTTGTTTTGTTTTCATTTTTTTTTCATTAATGCTTCTTTCCAGGACATAAAATAATATCCAAAGATATTTTGGCACTAACAGCGCAATCTGTAGCAAGAAAGTTGAGCAGTCTATTTGAATTGTTGATTCTTCCAAGGAGACCTCAGACAGCCAAGACAGTGTAAAGGAAAATACAAAAAAAAGACTTGTTAGACATTATTAAGGGCACGAAAGTTGAATTAAACACAGTTAATGTACAAACAACAAAGCCACCCAACGGAAGACCACTTAAAAACTACCACTGGCAGGTTTCAAAGAGCTATAGAATATGCTCCAAAGAAGAGATAAATTTAATTGTAATTTGAATGTTGTCTTTGCAGTCTTACAATAGTAGATGTACAGTGTTTTTTCCAGTTTACCAAAAATGAAATCTTGTTTGTCATTTAGATGCCACCTGGGACAGCAAGGCCAGGCTCTCGTGGTGGTCCCATAGGGACGGGTGGAGTTCTGTCTTCTCAAATCAAAGTTGCCGATCGTCCTGTGACACAACAAGGTTTGACTGGAATGAAAACTGGGATGAAAGGTACCTATTTTAAGATGAGTATCCATTTGGGTCTGTGTTTTATAAGAAATAAATAATTGTGAACAATAAAAGAAAAAGAGAAAGTTGAGTATATTTTGTATAGTAAGTATTACAGTACCATTTTATTAAATCAGAATTATAGCATATAAGAATTATTACATGAAATTATGGCATGTAATCAGAATTATAGCATTTAATTGTTATTTAATTCACAAAATTATTGTAAGGTATAAACAACAGAATGAACATGGAAAAACATTCTGAATTAGCTATGTACAGATGTGAGCTTTTTCGATCTTCATTTTTCTGACATGGAGCTGTAGTATAACTTGAAGAACTTTGAATTAATATTCAAGAAAAGTTCAAGATTGAAAATTAGATTTTTAGTACTATATAAAAATACTTTGAAATAGTTTGGATGGTTACTATATCAAAATGATACTTAAAATACTTGTGTATTTATGAGAGTGAGTCAAGAAATGTTATTTTCTTCCAATAATTAGTATCTGTTCTAATACTTATATAAGGAAATGAGGCTAACACATAGATTTATATTAAATCTCTCATTATGCTTCTGTATATGTATTTAAAGAAACATAAGAATACAAATATATATTATAGTTTAAAATTTAGATCTGTGGTATATATAAACCAAAGTATGGTAAACGTCTTATTTATTTATTTATTTTTATTATAGGCAGTGGTCAGTAGCCTGTGATGAACTGCTTTAGAGTTTTCTGCTTTCTGTAGTTTTGACAGATGATTTATCAGGAATGAAGATATTCTGCTAGTCCAAAATTAATTATAACATATCATATATACTACTTTCTATAATATAGTATATCATTCCTTTCAAGAAACTTAAACTTTCTCATCTACATTCTAATAATATTTAGATCACTAAATATTAAAAATCAATTGATTGTTTAGAAATGTTTGCTTAATGATTATGAGTACTATGAAAAAATAATTCAAAATTACATAGTCACTTAACTAGTCTTTGAAAATGTATGCACAGAAATATTTATATGTTTAATATTATTTTAAAACATTAGGGTAGAAACATATTAAAATTCTACAGTAAATTACCAAACGTTTATTTCCGTATTAATTTATCCTTTAAAACAGAACCAATATAATTTAAGATTGTTTGTTTCTACCAGTATACGTCAAAGTCTTTTATGACAGAATTCTGAATATTACCACTACACACAGCTATCTGCTGTGAATTTCATTCTTACTTTCTCTCTAGTGCCCTATTTCCCAGTATAATATATTACCTCTACTACTCAGCATAAACCTTTTAGTAAATACACCTAGTCTTCTCATACTTTGCAGGGCACTTTGTCTCTTACCAGGTTTAAGACATTTAACGTAGGAATACTTTCTTAGTTATACTGAAATGTAAGACCATTTCTAAAAAAGTCTCTGAGACAAATTGTAAAAAATTAGAATCATTTTCTTACATCGAGGAATGTCTGCAATGTCTAATATGACAGCCAGTAGTCAGAAATAGCTACTTAAATTTAAATCAGTTCCCCAGCAGCACCAGCCAAATTTTAAATGCTCTGTAGTCCCACTGCCCACTTTATTGGACAGTGTTAATTTAGAATATTTCTGTCACTGCAGAAAGTTACTTTGGACAGCTCTGTTCTAGATTCCCTTAGACTCAATTTTCATTCCATCAGCCTGTTCTGTAGAGTCTGCTGCTTTAACAGGCCCACTTCTGGCCCCATCCTTGTAGTTTTAATTGAAGCTTCCCCTGTGTCATAGTTCTAAGATACTAGTTTTCTTTTCTGTTTCATTGATTCTTCTTGATTCATTGCGGCATTCATGAAGACCGTCTTTAGAATTTTGAGTGTAATTCTGATTGTGCTTTGGACTTGCTATTTTGTTGGCATTTCAAAACTGAACACTAACACTTAAAACATTTTTTTAGGTCCCCAGAGGCAAATTTTAGACAAGTCTTACTATCTTGGACTTCTTAGGTATGTTAAACATGTCTTTACATCCTATGTTTTACTTGAAATATTGTGTACATTCTGTCAAAATAGAGTATATAACTTTAATATGAAATTTTAGGATAATTAGGTGTCTATTGATTTCTAAGAATTATTTTGTATTCCAACAATTTCTGGTTAATTTGGCTATGCTGTAAAATAAATGTGATAGTATAATTAGGCTGAGATTTATAATTTTATGAATTTGCTTGTATATGACTTTGTTTGTGCTGCTATAATAAAATACCTGAGATTGGGTAATTTATAAGTAATAGAAATTTATTTCTTACTGTTCTGGAGACTGGGAAGTCCAAGTTCAAGGTGCCAGCAGCTTCAGTGTCCTCGTGGCAGAAGAGTAGAAGGGCAAAAGGTGCCTAGCTACTTCAACCCTTTTATAAACCACTAATTCTATCCATGAAGGCAGAGCCTTCATGGCCTGATTATGTCCTAAAGTTTCTACCTCTTAATACTATTGCATTAGAGATTAAGTTTTGACACGCATTTTGGAGGGACACAAACGTTCAAACCATAGCCTACTTTTAAATTAAATTAAATTTAATTTAATTTATAGTTTAGAGACAGAGTCTCACTCTGTTGCCCAGGCTGGAGTACAGTGGCATGATCGAAGTTCACTGCAACGTTGAACTCCTCAGTTCAAGCGATCTGCCTGCCCCAGCTTCCCAAACTGCTGGGATTATGGGATTATAGGCATGAGCTACCAGCACACCTGACCTCATAGCTTTTTTTTTTGAGACAAAGTCTCACTCTGTTGCCCAGGCTAGAGTGCAATGGCGTGTGATCTTGGCTCACTGCAACCACCACCTCCCGGGTTCAAGGGCTTCTCCTGCCTCAGCCTCCCAAGTAGCTGAGATGATAGGCATGTGCCACCATTCCCGGCTAAATTTTTTTGTATTAGTAGAGATGGGGTTTCACCACCTTGACCAGGCTGGTCTTGAACTCCTGACGTTGTGATCTGCCAGCCTTGGCCTCCCAAAGTGCTAGGATTACAGGCATAAGCCACCGTGCCAGGCATCCGTGCAGAGTTATATTTATATAAGTATGTATTTGGTCAATTGCTACAAATGCGGCCTAATTTTAATTAATTCATACCCTTTTTTTTTTTTGAGACAGAGTTTTGCTCTTGTCTCCCAGGCTGGAGTGCAATGATAGGATCTCACCTCACTGCAACCTTCACCCCCACCAGTTTCAAATGATTCTCCTGGCTCAGCCTCATGCCTACAGTCTTCGAGTAGCTGGCGTTGCAGGTGCCTCCCACCATGCCTGGCTAATTTTTGTATTTTTATAGAGATGGAGTTTCACTGTGTTGGCCAGGCTAGTCTCAAACTCCTTGACCTCAGGTGATCCACCTGCCTAGGCCTTCCAAAGCGCTGGGATTAGAGGCGTGAGCCACTGCATTCAACCTCATAAATTTTTGTTATGTGTCTCCGGGGATGCATCTCTAAATCAACAACTTTCTCTTAATCTTAGCATTTTCTCCGCTTATATGTTCTGCTGTCCTATCTCCATCTTTCCATTTTACTTTATTTTCTTGGCACATTATTTGTATCTTCTTTCTCTTTATTTCTCTTTTGTTTAATCCACCCTTCCATTATGCCCTAAAGCCCTGCTACGTTTTCTTCATTTTTTATTTTTTTTTGAGATGGAGTCTTGCTCTGTCACCAGACTGGAGTGCAGTGGAGCAATCTTGGCTCACTGCAACCTCTGCCTCCTGGGTTCAAGTGTTTCTCTTGCCTCAGCCCTCTGAGTAGCTGGGATTACAGGCACGCGCCACCACACCCAGCTAATTTTTGTATTTTTAGTAGAAACGGGGGTTTTACCATGTTGCTCAGGGTGGTCTCGATTTCCTGACCTCATGATTCGCCCACCTTGGTCTCCCAAAGTGCTGGAATTACAGGCGTGAGCCACTGTGCCCAGTTACCTGGATCTTTTTGATTTTCAAATTCCTAGAAGGCAATAAAGAAAAATATGGTTTTCCTTCATTGGTTTTCAAAGCTTAGTAAGAAAGATAGTAAGGCCATCAGTTGTTTAGTATCTCTGATATTCAGCCACTTTTTAATCAAAAGAAGGAAAGGAAATATAGTTATTCCTAATGATGATATTGCCTTTGTCCTCCAGGATTTGTGCTTCTACATCAAAGAATAGTTCTAGCTGTTTGTGCAATTGTCTGGCTCTAGCACGGTGGTTCTCACCTTGTGGTGATTTTGCCCCCCCAAGGAAGCTTTGGCAATTTCTATGCATATTTCTGGTTGTCATAAGTGAGGTTGGAGGAAGTGCTACTGATATTCAGACCCAGGATGCTGGTAAACATTCTGCAGTGTACAAAATATCTCTCAGCACGAAGTACTAATCACCGAAAAATGTCATTAGTGCTACTATTGAGAAACTGTCCTCTAGAGGGTAGCAAAAGCTGTGATGGTAATAGGCACGTAAATCTGCCTATGGCTTGTACTAGTTTGACCAGGCTTTCATTCTGGTTCTGTTTCATCTTTCATTATGAATCTATGTCAGTTTCTGATCAGTTGAGTAGGATAGGATGAGATATACCTCTTTTTTTTTTTTTTTTTTTTTTTTTTTTTTTTTATGAGATGGAGTCTCACTCTGTCTCCCAGGCAGGTTGGAGTGTAGTGGCAGATCTTGGCTCGCTGGAACCTCCACCCCCCAGGTTCAAGCTATTCTCCTGCCTCAGCCTCCATAGTAGCTGGGACTACTTGTGTGTACCACCACACCTGGCTAATTTTTGTATTTTGAGTAGGGATGTGGTTTCACCACCTTGGCAAGGCTGGTCTTGAACTCCTGACCTCAAGTGATCTGCCTACCTTGGCCTCCCCAAAGTGCTGGGACTATAGGCATGAGCCACCGCCCAGCCAGGATATACCTCATTCTTAATGAAATAAGCCACCTAGGCCAGGCGCACTGCCTCACGCCTATAATCCCAGTATTTTGGGAGGCTGAGGCAGGCGGATCATAGGGTCAAGAGATTGAGACCATCTTGGCCAACATAGTGAAATCCAGTCTCTTCTAAAATACAAAAATTAGCTGGGTGTGGTGGCCCATGCCTGTGGTCCCAGCTACTCGGAGGCTGAGGCAGGAGAATTGCCTGAACCTGGGAGGTGGAGGTTGCAGTGAGCCGAGATTGCGCCACTTCACTCCAGCCTGGCACCTGGTGACAGCAAGATTCTGTCTCAAAAAAAAAAAGAAAGAAAGAAGCTACCTAAACTTTTTGCATTCTTTAGTGAACTTCACAAAACTATTTACGTTATTGTTATATATTAATGAAAAGTTTAAATTTTGCTTAACTAGAGTTTTCTGGATTAGAAGCATTGCTGACATTCTTATTTCTTTTCAAATAGAAGTAAAATAAGTGAACTTACAACTGAAGTTAATAGACTTCAGAAGGAAATAGAAATGTACAATCAAGAGAATTCAGTGTATTTGTCATATGAAAAGAGGTGAGTAATAAGTATTCAGTATTAATTCAGTATTTTGTAGTTATAATAGTAAATTTGTAGTTATCCATATTGTTTGTAATATTCATTTCCTTATTTGTATATATTTATGAATGTATTTTTTGTACGCTTGCAGGGCCGAGACTTTAGCTGTTGAAATAAAAGAGTTTCAAGGACAACTAGCAGACTACAACATGGTATTGTATCTTTTCTAAGAGAATGTACTGTGAATATTTTCATTAGTTTTTACTACTGCTTTAAAAATACATTATTTTAGTAGGCAAAGGACATGCACTGATACTTTCTGAAAGAAGACAAACATGCAGCTGATAAGTGTATGAAAAGAAGCTCATCATCACTGATCATTAGAGAAATGCAAATCAGAACCATAATATACCATCTCATACCAGTCAGAATGGCTATTACTAAAAAGTCAGAAATAACAGATGCTGGTGAAGTTGCAGAGAAAAGGGAATGCTTATACACTATTGGTAGGAGCGTAAATTAGTTCAAACACTGTGAAAGCGGTGTGGCAATCCTCAAAAAGCTGAAAACAGAACTACTATTCAACCCATCAATCCCGTTACTAGGTGTATACCCAAAGGAATGTAAATCATTCTACCATAAAGACACATGCACACATGTGTTCATTGGTGCACTATTTACAGTAGCAAAGACCCGGAATCAATGTAAATGCCAATCAATGGCAAACTGGATAAAGAAAATGTGGTACATATATACCATGAAATACTATGTAGTCATAAAAAAGAATAAGATCAAGTCCTTTGCAGGAACATGGTTGGAACTGGAGGCCATTATTCTTAGCAAACTAACACAGGAACAGAAAACCAAATACTGCATGTTCTCACTTATAAGTGGAAGCTAAATTATAAGAACACATAAATGGGAAAAACAGAGGGAAAGGATCAGAAAAAGTATTGGGTACTATCTTACTACCTGGGTGACAAAATAATCTGCATAATAAACCCCCATGTCAACCCCACTGTTGACAGTTTACCTGTACAACAAACCTGCACATGTACCCCGAACCTAAAATAAAAATTTAAAAAATTTAAAAAACAAAACATTTGATGAAAAAACAGTTATTAATTTATTTAAAATATCAAGTAATAGATGAATACATAATTATTGTGAAAGATGAAACCATAAAAAGTACAACAAAGTGTGCCTTTATTTTCTGCTTCATTTCCCTCTCTAGAAATAACTTAGCTTAACAGATTAGTATGTATTCTTCCAATGTTTTTTGTAAAATATGTTTACTAACACATACACAAATGCACACATGCTTTTCTCCCTAAAAAATATTAAAGTAATAATTTAAATAATTTTAAAAGTAGCTAGAATTCATTAACTCTATGAATCCTGTCCTATCAATGATTCTATCAATGATCATTGCTTTAAAAACACATTTTAACTTTATCGAGTATTGTCATCTTCAAAATTTTAAAATTTAATTATTTAACATACAAATTGCCACAACCTGTATGTTCTACTCTAAATATTGTATACATTCTGTCAAAATAGAGTATATAACATAAACATAGTTCCACCAAAGATGCTTCTACCTATGGACTTTAAGAAGACACAGTCCCTCTGGAAGTGTTGATAACTGCTCAATCCTTGGGTGAAATTGGCTCCATGAAAATTTCTAGTGTCAGACTTTTTTTTCTTCTAACTCTTTAGGTGCTTTAGGCAGCAGTAGTGTCTGGATTTAATGAAAGAGACAAATTTTTATCTCACCACCCTTATTAAGAAATAATGTTATAAGAAATAAACCTTCTATTATAATGGTTAGGACAAGTTATGATATACCTACTTAATATTGTTACCTTGTGTTTATCAGTGAAATTTTGCTGATTATAGTATAACTTTTTGTTGTTATTGGTGGTGGTGGGTTTTTTGTTTTTGTTTTGTTTTGTTTTGTTTCTGTTTTTCGTTTTTTTGAGACAGAGTTTCGCTCTGTTGCTCCAGCTGGAATGCAGTGGCTCAGTCATGGCTCACTGCAGCCTAGACCTTCTGAGCTCAATTGATTCTCCCACCTCAGCCTCCCAAGCAGCTGAATGTACAGGCACATGCCATCACACTGGACTAATTTTTTGTATTTTTTGTTGAGATGAGGTTTGGCCATGTTGCCCATACTGGTCTCAAACTCCTAGGCTCCAGCTATCTAGGGGCATGCACATGTACCCTTGAATCTAAAATAAAATAACAGCATGTGTCTTTATGGTAGAATGATTTATATTCCTTTGGGTATACACCCAGTAATGGGATTAATGGGTTGAATGGTAGTTCTGTTTTCAGCTTTTTGAGGAATCGCCACACTGCTTTCACGGTGTTTGAACTAATTTATACTCCTATCACCTTGGCCTCCCAAAGTGCTGGGATTACAGACATAAGCCATTGTGCCTGGACTGTTTTTATTTTTTAATTTTTAAATTGTTTTTTAGACACAGTGTCTTGCTCTCTTGCTCTGGCTGGAGTACAGTAGCATGATTGTAGTTCACTGCAGCCTCGAACTCCTGGGCACAAGTGATCTTCCTGTATCAGCCTCCCAAGTAGCTGGGACTATAGGTGCATGCCACTATGCCTGGCTAATTTTTAAATTTTTTAGAGAGATGGGGTCTTGCTATGTTGCCCAGGATGATCTTGAACTCCTGGGCCCAAGTGATCCTTCTGCTTCAGCTTCCCAAAGTGCTAGGATTGTAAGTGTGAGCCATTGCACCCAGCACTCTTATAATTCGTAAATTCACTGGACTACACAATTCATAACAAACATTTTGTGGAGCCCGTTATTCAGTGGGATTTTCTTTAGTAAATGATGTTCTGCTTTAAATATGAGAAAAATAGTTTTTATAAGGTATGAAATGACATTAGATGAAAGGGAATTTTAGTTACACTAGAACACATTAGGCATATTACTTCATATAAAATACTAGCATGGTCCAGGCACGGTGGCTCACGCCTGTAATGCCAGCACTTTGGGAGACAGAGGTGGGCAGATCACCTGAGGTCGGGAGTTTGAGACCAGCCTGACCAACATAGAGAAACCCCATCTCTACCTAAAATGCAAAAAATTTGCTGAGCATGGTGGTACGTGCCTATAATCCCAGCTACTTGGGAGGCTGAGGTAGAAGTATTGCTTGAACACTGTTAGCGGAGGTTGTGGTGAGCCAAGATTACACCGTTGCACTCCAGCCTGAGCAACAAGAGTGAAATTCTATCTCAAAAAAAAAAAAAAAAAAAAAACTACCATGTAAAATACGCTATTTATAGAATTAATGAGCTAATACCTGATACGAGCAGTTAGCTGGGTATCTGACATATAGTTGGCACTCAATAAATGTTAGGTCTTCTTAGCACTTACTTATATCATGAGTGAAAAATGTGATAAATGTCATACCGAAATAGTTTGCTTTTAGTAGACCTCTGTTCACATTCTGATTCTATCACTTGCTAAATTTCTTTATCTGTAAAATGTGTACAGTCATATCTACTTCATAGAGTGAGTGTAAAAATTAAGTGAGTTAATACATGTGGAATAGTGTTTGAACTAGGTAAATACCCTGTGTTGGCAATTGATATCCTTGCCTAACTTTTTAAAGTAGGCTTACTGCTCTTCCATCTGTGCAAGCCCTGTTGATAATTTAAAAAATATTTTTACATTTTTACTAGTGTAAATTTGTAAATCTGCTAACATTCGTCTCTCCTTGGGGGCATTGGCAAGGGAAGAGAGAGTGATAGATCTTTCCAAAACTTTCGTCTTTTCCAGACCCTTATTTATAAGCTCAGCCATCTTTTCAGAGCAGGCAAAAGTCTACAAGCTATGATTTGCAGGAGGAGTAGTTAATTACTGCTCATTTATCCATATTAAAAGTGTAGTTTATTTATTGGCCAGGTACATAATATATGCTTACTTAGGTAGCTCAATTTTGTTTTTAATCTTAAAACAGAAAATATTTAAAAGTATTAATACTTAAGTTACTACTCATTTGTTAAGACTGAATGTCTATATTATTAATTATAGAGAACATGTGTAAAGAATAACAGAATGGTGTTTGTTTGCATTTTTGTTTTTAGTTGGTAGATAAACTTAATACCAACACTGAAATGGAAGAAGTAATGAATGATTACAATATGGTAAGAACATTTATAAATACAAGCAAATTGATCTATATAAGTCCTATCCTACAAAACAAAGCATTTATATCTAGAAATGGTTTGATGAAACTTTAAGTGCTAATAGAGATGAATATTACTCTGATTGTAAATACCACTGTATGTATTCGTTGAGCTCCCTTAGTTGCTCTTTTTAATTTTCTTCCTGTTGGTTGGCTTTCCTAAGTGGATGTTTAGTGTCAGTCTAGTGTGTTTGAACTGGTGTCACATGCAATATTAGTTAGGGAGTGCCATCTACATTTTCTTTTATATATATTAGTTTATGATATTTCTGGCTTAGTTTATGCACAAATGTTGCTGAATACTCAATGGTGACAGATGATAACTTTACATAGTTTTTGTAACCAATGGAGAAAAATAAATAGATATGACTCCAGACATAATATTAATCTTTGATTGGTAAATGAGAATTTGTGTTTAACATGGACATAACACTGAGGACTCCAAAAAGGGGAATGGTAGGAGGGCAATGAGGGTGGAAAAATTACCTTGTGGATACAGTGTTCACTATTAGGATGATGGGATGGATTCGCTAGAGCCCAAACCTCACCAGTATCTAATATCTCCATGTAACAAACCTGCACGTGTACCCTTGAATCTAAAATAAAATAACAAATTTGTGTTCAATATTCCAAGATTATTTTGTAGAAAACAATAAACATGTTAATAGCTAGCTTATTTTGATTATAAGCATTTGGGTGAAAACAACATATAATGTATAATTTATATAGTTTATAACATATTTACAGGAATAAAGACTATTCTATGAGGACATAGAGTTTATAAAATGACTCTTCTAAATTTGAGGTTCTAAAACCATGATAATTTAGTTACTTTTAGCTTTAGAACACAAGAGAATTCACTAATTAAGAATTGTATTTCAATGACAGATGTAAAAAGTAAAAGCCTGATGTGTTTTGTCAGTTGTTTGGTATAGGGCGTCCATTTTCTAGGCTGAGTATGCACCGTTAGAATTAATTAGGCATACTCAGATAATATCCTGAATGATTCAGGAATAAAACTTGTGGTGGTTCTAAATTTAACATATTGCTAATCAAATATTTATTTAGCACTCAATACATTCTTTAAATGCTTTTTACATAAATTTACTTGAATTGATTTATTTGACAGATCACTGAAGAACAATGAATATTTTTGGTATGAAATTACAGTGCTTCTTAAAAAGACTTTTAAAAAATCTGGTATTGTTTGTTAAATGAGACAATTACTGTATTTTTTTCTTAAACTTTGTATGTGGCACTAGGATGATTATAATAATTTCTTAGTTTGTAACCAAAATAACCTACAAAAAATTTTGGTTTAATTTTTATTTATTACTAACTTATGTGTTAACTGTTCATTCAGCTTAAAGCTCAGAATGATCGAGAAACACAAAGTATGGATGTCATATTTACTGAAAGACAAGCGTAAGTATAGCTAATTTAAAAATCAGATTCATAGTTTAAATTGATTCATTTATTTCCTTGTAAATTTTCTTAGCAATTTCCCCATTGCCTTTTTCATTTAAAAATATTTACAACACAAATTTTGTCGCTTATACATCTGTTATCTTCACTTACCATTAAATGGCTAAATTCTGTATAAAGAATATTACTACATAGCTTACATAAATAGGATTTATGCTGTTAGAGCTGAAAACTTCCAATGAATAAGAGCATCTTTATATCTAGTATTTTTAGTTTTAACCTAGGCTTTTAACTAATTTGAATTGTGGTGTTTTCAGGCCCAATCTAGTAAAAGACACACTATTCATTAGGCAACTATTTACGTTATTTCATTAGCATGGATATTTAATAGTTACATTAGTAATCTACATCATATACATAGATTATATGTGTATCTTTATATCCTGTGTAAAGGCTGAATACCAGCTAACACTGGAAATAACGTAATTGTGGCAGTGGGAGTAGTGCCTACAAAGATAGTAGTAGGCATGATGTAGTTGACTTCTTCATGTGTTTTGTCAGTTGTTTGGGATGGGTCCATATCCTAGGCTGGGTATGCACAGGTCGAGTTAACTAGACATTCTCAGATAAAATCCTAAATGATTCAATAATAAAACTTGTGTTGGTTCTAAGGTCAAAAAGCTGATGAAGGATAAATAATTTAGAACCAACACAAATTTTATTCTTGAATTATTTATTCTAAGGCAACATAAACACAGATGATGAGCTATGTTGTGTAAATACACACACAAGCACATTTTCTCCCAGAAGTTTATTAATATTAGTCTCTTTGAGAGCAAGGACAATAATAAACCCAAATCACTATATATAATTACCAAAATTCAGTAACACCAAATACACTCGCTTTTTACCTCTGCATAAAACAGTAAATATTTGATGATGAATAGATGTTAAAATATACTGAAAAAACATTTGAAAGATAAATGTAATTCTTCTGTTGATTAAAAACAGGAATCTCTTTCCCCCCTCTTTTTTTTTTTTTTAAGAGAATCTTGCTTTGTTGCCAATGCTGAATTGTAGTGGCATGCTTATGGCTCACTGCAGACTTGAACTCCTGGTTCAAGTGGTTTTGCCTTAGCCTTCCAAGTAGTTGGGACTATAGGTGCATGCCACTGTGCCCAGCCAATTTTTTGTTTCTTGTGGAAATAGAATCTTGTTACGTTGCCCATGCTAGTCTCAAACTCCTGGTCTCAAGCAGTCCTTCTACCGTGGGCTCCTCAAGTGTTGGGATTATAGGCGTGAGCCATTGTATCTGGCTGGTATCATTTGATGCTGCTGTAAAATGACATCTTAGAAACTCAAAATACTAGCAGTCCTTTTCCTTTTACAAGAAAAATTTTGTTCATGGTGGGTGGATCACCTGAAGTCAGGAGTTCAAGACCAGCCTGGCCAACATGGCGAAACCCTATGTCTACTAAAAATACAAAAATTGGCTGGGTGAGGTGGCAGGTGCTTATAATCCCAGCTACTCAGAACGCTGGGAGACGAGAATCGCTTGAAGGTGGCAGGTGCTTATAATCCCAGCTACTCAGAACGCTGGGACACGAGAATCGCTTGAACCTGGGAGGCGGAGGTTGCAGTGAGCTGGGATTGCACCACTGCACTCCAGCCTAGGTGACAGAGCAAGACTCTGTCTCAAAAACAAAACAAAAAAAGAACAAAAATTATGGTTAGAAGCTTACTTTTATATAGAGCAGGAGAATAGATTTATTTCTTGTGTTAACCAGATGGCCAGCATATCCATAACGCGAAGATCTATCTTGACAATTCCTTATAATCATGACTCTACATGTTCAGAGCAACCAAGAAATGCCATACCTTGAGAAGACAGGTGTAAAAAGCTTCTGTTTTCATTCTCTTTTAGTACAACCATTTAGTGTGGTCTGACCATCTGCTTTGTCATAGAAGACTTGTCCATAAAAAGTTGGGAAAACAGCCTCAATATATTACTACAACAATGTGTAAGACACCTGGCTTTAATTCAGTTTCACAGGCCTTGCTTCAACTAATGATTCTCTTCTAATTCTACATTTTCTAGTTTGGTATTAATCAAGATCAGTTGTCCTTTAAAAATATATGTAAACATAGTTTTATACCCATTTATTTTTCTTTGTTTAGTTCTTATTGAATATCCCATATTCAATAGAGGCCCTTGAATATAAAAGCTTAAGTGTAATCTTTGCTCCTCTGTAATTATATTTCATTTTGCTACATTTCTCAAATATTAATATTTGCATCTTATAATTAGGATAGATTTTGGCAGAATTATGCATTATTTAGAAAAAGGTATTTTATATTCCTATAATCTCATTCTTATAATTGAGATTTAAAACAAAGTATAATTGATATATAAAGAAATATTAGTCATTATATACTTACATCCTTTGAAAACATTTTTCTGTAAACACAAGCAAATATGTATCATAAATTAGTAAGTTCTTCTATTTTACAGGTATATCATCCTAAATAGTTTTTATTTTCTCTCAGTAGACATTTGTACTGAATTTATGATTTGTGTAACTTTTAAAATAACTATTCTGTAGATTATGACATAGATCTATTTTATTTTAGTCTCTTTTCTCTAAGGAATTGTCAAGTACATATAAATTTTTAACACTTTATTATAGAGAAATTTGAACATACACAGAAATAGCATATTATACCCTTATGTACTCAACTCCCAGCTCCATCAGCTCATATTTAACCTTGCTCTGTCCATGCCTCTAGCCACTGTTCCATTCCATGTGTTATAATGAAGAAAATATCAGAAGTATTATTTTACCCATAAATGTATTTCAGTGTTTCAGAGAGATACTTATTTCTAAAAGACAAAAATTCTTAATTTCTCTGCATATGAAGGTAAAATTACAGATTGTGCTGCAGTTTTTAATGCCACTCTTTGCATTGATAAATTATTAAATTAATGATTGTAGCCAATTGATTATAAGGAATTGGCAAATAATTCACTTTAGACCCTTCCTATTGTGGTCTATAGGCCAGTGTTTTCCAAAGTATGTTCTTTGGATTGTTATTGAACTATGAGCTCTTAGTAGATATAACTCAAAGAATGGGTTGTCAAGTAAGTTTGAGAAATTTT